GGCAGATAGGGTTGGTCATGGTGGTCACTGAAAGCCTCTTTCTTTCCAGCCTGTGCCTTTGCTGGTCTCTGGAACTGTGTCACCATCAACCCCCTGAACATCGCGGCTGGCGTGTGGATGATGTGAGCAGGCTTTCTTCTCATTTTCCTGCTGGGAGGGAGGTTTTGTTAACCAGACCCCATTGAGGGGGGCAGAGCTGCCCTGCTTGGGCAGTGGATGGGTGTGAAACATCCTTCAGGCTCTGGGAATTGCCAGATCTTGCTCCATCAGGCAGGTTGAGATGTTAGTTTTATTCTGTTTGTGTTATTTCTTTATGCATATTTAGGTAAATACTGAGATACCCTTGGCCAAAATAAGTCTGGGTCAGCAGGGCTTGGAAATTTGGAAATTATCAAGAAGCGGGGGGAGCCTCACCATTCCCTTCACCTGCATGGAGCACGGAGTGTCTGCTCTCTGTGGGACTGGGGGGCACTGCTGAGCCCTGCTGTGGGTGGTTCAGAGGCAGGATTAACTCTTGTTTGCTCTCTCTGGAGGCTCAACGCCTTCGTCCTGTTCCTGTGTGAGGCCCCTTTCTGCTGCCAGTTCATCGAGTTTGCCAACAGCGTGTCCGCCAGGGCCGACAAGCTGCGGGCCTGGCAGAAAGCAGCTTTCTACTGCGGGTGAGGATGCTCCTGGGGGCACATCCCGGGGAAGGAACATCCCTGCATCCTGTGGGGATGAGGGGGCTGAGGGCTGCTCCTGTCTTCCAGGATGGCTGTGTTCCCTGTCATGCTCAGCCTGACGCTGACCACGCTCTTCGGCAACGCCATCGCTTTCGCCACCGGGGTGCTCTATGGTCTGTCGGCCCTTGGAAAGAAGTAAGAGAGGCCCAGCTGCTCGTGGAGGGCAGGGAAGGGGGAGATGGAGCTCCAGCCCTTGCCCCATTTGCCTCGCTGAGGCTTTGCCTTCCTCTTGCACAAGGCGTGCTGAGGTGTGAGTGCGGCCAGAGGAAACCTCCCTCATCTCAGAGCCCTGGGAGGGAAGGTCCTGGGGGTTGCTGAAGCTCTGAGCTTTTGGGAGTTCAGAGCAGCTTGTCCTGAGGGTCCTGCTCTTCTTTCTGCAGCTGTTGGGTGGATGGGCCCAGCTCTGGGGCAGAGAGCAGCTTTGGGGGTTGGAGAGGGCCTGCAAGCGTGGTCTCACTCCTGGAATCCTTTGGCACGGAGAGCCAGGCTCCAGCTGGGACAAGCTGTGCCATGCCCCTGCTGTCCCTTCTCTCCACAGGGGAGATGCCATTTCCTACGCCCGCATCTACGAGCAGCAGAAGCAGATGGATGAAGAGAAGCTGACGGGGACCCTGGAGGGACAGGCTCTCTGAAGGACACAAGCTTGGGGTAGCATCTCCTGGACACGGAGACGGTGAAGACGTGGAAATCCACCCTGCCCTTCCTTCTGTCCTCTCACTCCTTGCTACACCACGATTTCCCTGGA